CATTCAGTTAGCATACCAATTTAGAACTAGTGCCTGGTTTTTAGAGATGCTGAGAACTTACATTCTTTTGTTGGCTACAGGTCTAGTAGAAGCGTTCCGAGAACTAGGCCTGGGAACTTCACATGCGGTTTAGATGTCTGAAGGAAGTGTTTAGTCATTTTTAAATGCAGTGTTGAAACAGTTCTGGGAGCCACAGAAATAAGGATACCTAGGGGATCTAGCAGGTCTCTCTAGCTGGGTTAACTTTATTAAAGAGTAAGAATATTTGCCTTTCACTCAGGAAAGATACTAGTTTTGGTCTTTTCTCCCCACATACACACTTTCACAAAAAGCATAGAGACTTGACAGCTCTGACATTGAGTTATGGGCTGACTTATGGTAAACCAGCAAAGTTAATGGAGTGGAGAAGGGGAGGAAAGCGATGAATATACAGGGACAGGCTAGCTCTGTCAGTGTCTGAAAGAGACACAGAACCTGTAAGAGGACAGGAGGAGTATGGGAGGAGAAGGGATTCCAAGTTCAGCAGTACCACAGACATTCCTTCTGCTGGCAGGTGCCAGGACAGGACAAGGACTGACAGTTCCTGGGACACGATGCCTGGGCTGACCTCAGTTCTCAAACCCACTGGCACAAGCTGATCACTCTGATCAGACACTGGCTGTAACCTGCGTGGGTGGGAAGAATTCAAGGGGGCAAAAAAATCTCAAAGTAGACACATTGTTTAAGGTAAAGGAACAGTAAATGCATTTAGCATTATTATAGCCCAAGAGCCTTCAAAACACTTAGCAGAGGATAATTATAGACAATCGCTTCCTTAATTGAAGGTTTTCCAAGTGCTCCTCTAACCCAATGTATTTAAATTATTACTTTTCAGGTGCAGACCAAGCCTCAGTGACAGCCCGCAGCCACATTCAGCTGGTGAAGTCACAGGTGCAAGAAGTGCGACAGCTGTCCCAGAAAGCAGAGACCAAGCTAGCTGAAGCTCAAACAGAAGAGCTCATAAAAGCTCAAGGAGAGGAATCTTCATTGCCACAGGGTATTTTAGGAAGTACAGAGGCGGCTGAGGACCCTTACCTTCGGGAGGACTGAAAAGAACTCAGCTGTCACCGTAGAATATGTGAGAGTTAATCGCAAATTGAAGGGTCCCAAACTTTTAAGTGTGGGATAGTGGGAAACTGCTGAAATAAGCCTATGATTCCATTTTTTTCCCCAAACAGGATTGCTTTACAAATCAAGTCAGTTCCAAGTATCTGAAAGGCCTCAATCTTGTTTGTAACTTATCATGTTTGTAATACTTATGGATTCAATTATTTAAATGTTTAACTATGCAAATGTGAAAATGGCTATCAAGGATAGCTTGTTGTTAATTGTCTCTCTGCTGGGAGGGTCCTACCGCTCGTCTGGTATGTTTGTGAGAGCTCTCTTAACTTAGGGGCTAACTAGGTATCAGCCAAAGAAAGAAGTGTGTTTAAAAGTCATTATTTTTAACCTGTGAGGTAAATTATGTCTGTTAGGACATACCTTTATTAAACTGTGCAAAAGCATCTTATTGCGAGTGTGCCCGTTTGGATGAGAGCTGTTTTCTATTTGAACTTAAAAGTTCGTAACAGAGCTGAGTCTGACAGCTACATCAAATTACATGTAATTGCAATCAGGGGAAATGTTTGTTGTAGAGCTGAAAACTTTCTGTGGAGCTACCCAGGCTCCTCTTAGTAAAGTTTTGCAGTTTAGTTCAGCAACCTCTTTCACCCCAGAGTCACCGCTTGTAACGCGTCTGCCTTCCCCGGGAAGCAAAGGGAGGTTTGATTTTGAAGACACTGTGGTTATAAACAAAGTTGTTGTGGCAATTGCTGCGTACTTCTTTACAAAGCAGTAAGCAAAACTAAGTTTTACATATTTGAATGCTTTCCAGCACAAGTTTCAGGAAAATAATCTTAATTCCCTCTTTTTGCAAGCTTAGTGTTTCACTGCAGGCTTCAAAACCACAGGTGTCTTCCACTGTGTCATTTACTAACTTGACAGCTTAAATATGAGACTTGCAATATTAACTCTAGAGCTGTAGAGTGTAGAACAGCATCCACTAGAACTTCATCGCTGCTGATTTGAGTCAGTTACTCCCCATTCATCAGGTTTTGTAAGAAAACACACATTAATCATAGGTTTTTCACCACAAATTAGCATCTGATGCACTACATCTATGTCGAGGTTGCTGTTACTAAACTGAGTTGTGCTTGACTAGGAATTTTTTCAGCTTGCAGCATGAGCCTTTCTATCTCTGTCTCATTTTGCCTGCCTTTTAAACAAATGCAATCTCGGCTGCACAGCACTGTACATTTATAGATTAAATAGTAAAGAAATTAACAAACCGCCTTTCCTCTCCGGCTCCTCACTGGAGCTGCTGTATCCAAGGAGGATAGCACAGTCTGGAATTCAAGCTCCCAGGAAGGTGCCAGTGTCTGCTGTGCCAGTAGTTAGGAGGTTCCAAACACAGCTTTGGGCTGAAGCATTAGGAAAAACCCCACTATCATGAGAGGATTATTTGCAGCAGCGACACAACCACACCCTCAAGAGCCAAATGCAACTTCAGGTCAGCCTCTAACCACAACTGCTCCCATTTGTTACACGCTGCAGTTTAAGGACTTCTGCCAAGCCACTGACCCAAATGCACGTACTGGTTGTGTTCCTGCCAGGATGCCGCAGTAACTCTACCAGATGCTTGCATGGCAGAGATACGGCCTAAGGCAGATGAGCATTGCTACGGGAGTCTGCAAAGCAGCCCATTCTTCCCCTTTCAGAAACAGGGAATGCTCCAAGCCCCCTTGTTGCCACACTTCTTGTTTCACTGTACGCCCTGCTCTTCCTTCCCAAGACACAGGCTGTACACACCTAACCTTCAGATGTGACACAAACCAACTAGTCAGTTCAGTCAAGTCAAAATGGGAGTGAGGAGCATGACTGGCTCTCTATCACCTCCAAAACAGGGTGGAAAAGAGCCCCACAACTTTATTAGGAAGTGAGAGTTGCCTATCAGGGCTTAGACCAACGCACCTAAGCCCACAACAGACATGACATCATGCTCTACATTATGTTACTGAGTTTGCATTTGGAATCATCTAGTGGATCAGAAAAATGCTGCCACAGCAGTTCACAGGTACCATGGTACCCACTCTGTCCAGTTTCTTCTCTGGAACAAGCAGCGGTGCCCAGAAACTAGGTTTTGCTGCCGATACTCAGCCTTGTTTACAAAGCCAACATATCTGAAACTACGTCAGGCACAGCTATTAGCTATTAGCTAATACAGTTAATTAATCCCGGTTAGGGCCGCAGTGGAAAGACGCAGTAGCAGCTTGTACAAGACCACACTGAGGATGGACACAGACTCACTCCTTGGAAGAGCAATTTTTTCAGACAAATGCCTACTCGCATCTGGCACAGAAACAGCGGCCGTAAGAGTCTGGGTCACACTGTAGGGCTACACTAGAACTACACCCGGTGCTTTAGAAAGCCAGGGCAGCAAGAGATCAAACAAGGACCAGCAGTACTGCCAGGAGTCCCTCAGCCCGAGGTCGTACAGCACTGCACCACCCCACTGCCCCGAGCTCGTCACACCTCTCTGCTCTCGGGACGCCCCCGGTCTCTCTGCCTCTAGTACAAGCAAGGACCTCCTGGGAGCAGTTCCCAGGCACCTCTGAAAGCTCCAGCTCACATCTGAACGCCAGGCAGCTGGCACCGGACAGCAATGACAACAGCACAACACAAGTTGCTCTGATTTCTGTAATCACACGCTTCCTCTCTACCCATTACCTTTTTCTAAAGCTTCCAGGCTGCTTCCTGCTCACACACAGCACAGCAGCTTCTGATCTAGCAGAAAGGCACCCTGAAGCTGATAATCTTCGTCAAAGTAAAGTATCTCCACATCTCAGTTTCATATTTGATCTTTCCTAAAATTGGTGACTCCAGCATACTCACAGATTAATTGCTTCAGTATCGATACATCTTGTCTGGACAGAGGCAGAGAACAGCAGCTGCTCACAGCAAAGGAAGTGGCAAGTTTCCACTGCCACATAACCTTATCCTCTTTAATATCAAAGACTCCTTAATGCGAACGCCCAGCACCAGATCTCACCTTTCTCCGGCTTTTAGTTCTCTCAACTTTCAGGAGACCCAAGAATACTCCTCTGAAAACACTCTTCAAAACTGTATTTTATTTATACCCAGCATTACAACAACAACAGAAAACCCCCAACTCCTCCCACACAACATGAACAGCTACAGCCACTGTAACTACCACCGTGACTACTCAAGACATATTGCTCCTCTCAAACCCGATCAGAAAGTGTTTGTGCAAAAGCTTCCAGTGCAAGTAAACCTGTAATAAACTTCTGTAAAATCCAAAGTCAGAGCCCAGTCCCTTGGATCATCATGTTGTGTTAAGGCAATACATTTTTGAGGCTTCCCCCCACACATCCCTTTTTCCTGCTGTCTGGTAGGACCTGGGGGCTTGCTGGCCTGGGACAGCAGAGTTGTGCTGCAGTGGACCCAGCAGCACACACTGGCCTTTCTTCCACCCCTTCAAGTAATTTCAAGTGCTCTGTTGCTCGTTAGTCATCATTAGCTTTCCTACACAAGACTGAATTTGGCTCGTGGCCAGACACCAGCCTCGGTGCTGCAGAGCCTCCATAGCAGGTCACCCTTCATTCATGTCCCTGTGGCAGTTGTGGCTTCCCCTGGCTCCGGTCCGGCTGGGAGGAACCGAGCCGAGTCCCCCGTGCCATGTCTCACTGAGCTAATGGCCTCATCCCCACCCCGTGACAATGCAACTGCTCCGGCAACCCACCAACAGGAAAACACTTACTGCAAAACAACCCCCTATGGCTCACGTACAGTCTGTTAGCAGAAGACATGTTTCTACCACAACCTGATTTTTAGTTTAAGTAAAGTACCCTGTATCTGTCACCAGTCACAATCCCGCTGTGCTCATCACAATCCCGCTGTGCTCATCAGTAGCCTCTTTTCCAACCCCTTCTGTAGTTGTGCGTTACCGATACCGCACACCGAATGCTGTCATCCTTCACCAGCGTCCACATGATCCACATCTCGGTCGGGTTTAGTTTGTGCACAATCATCAGCTCTTTGTACAAGCACGGATCAAAAGGATTGAAAGGTCTCTGGATCCCAAAAGTCTTAAAGCCAGCATGGTTCTTTGGGGTCACTGCCATCTTTGCCAGGCACATTCCCACAAAGACATCGTCTATTGGGAAGAGCTCCGTGTTCTCTGCGCTGCTCTGGAGGCGGCGCACTGTCTCTCTAGACATCACATAGCCCCCTCCACCTGCATAGAGAGGATAGAAGGGGGCTCTGTACATGGACTCTGGAATAAAGTATTTGACCTTGGTGTTCCTGATGGGCCGGGCGTTGGCGATCACATCCCCAACAAAAAGATCCTGTTCAGGGTCCAGTTCTTGGAGGAATTCAACAATGTTGTACGTGTTGACAAAGACATCATCATCGCCCTTCAGCACAAACCTGGTGTGCAGGCAGTCCTCCATGAACCAGCGGAGGAAATGCAGCTCCTTGAGGGTCAAGTTGAAGAATTTGTCGACAAAATCCCACTGCAAGATGTCATCAAACTCCTGGCTCTCGTAAGCCAGCAGCTGGTGCAAGGGCTGTACCTGGATTTTGGCCTCCGAGCGCCCTAGCAGGAATACCAGCCTGATGCGCTTGCCACCGATGGAGACCTCCTTCCCCCACGTGTTCCTGATCGCCACCCGCCGCTCTAT